TTTTCAGATATTATGCAATAAAACTTAAAAAAGAGGGAGATATAGGAAAGAGAAAGAAAGGGAAAGAGATATAGAAGAAAATGCAAGCAGAACGCAATATGACAGAAAAGAACATATCTGATGTCAGAGAATGCAAATTACCCCAGGCTTTGATAACTTGAAGCTGTAAGAAAGCAGATTTGGGGAGATCCTAGAGCCAAAAGCTTGAGGTCTTCCCCAAGGGCTCCAGAAGCATAAGCTGCAGAAGCCTCCCCAGCAGCTGTAACAACTCGGGTCTCTGAGAATAATTGTCCAGTAGACACCAGTGTGGACTCAAGGGAGCCTCCCGAAGGTGAGAGGCCTCAGAGCGTAATGGAAGGGGCTGGAGCAGCAGTGGCTCCAAGGTACCAGGCCTAGAGGACCTGCATGGTGGGAAATGAGAGAAAGATGGGGTCATTGCATCTAAGGATGAAACCATGAGCTCTACGGGGAGTGTTGCCCATGTTGTGTGTAGGATGTCCTGTTCTGTTAAGGGAGTGGAGGCTGCTTATAGTAAGAACCCATGCCGCAGTTTGCACTGGAAAGAGAAATTTGAGGTCAGGAGATTTCAAGTAAGTGTGCAGGGTTCTATGGGGAAGAAAAGATGTGGTCACAGGAAAATAAAGGTTAGGGCACCTGATCTCATGTGTTCCCTTTTCTCAAATGTTGCAGCATCTCAGAAGTCACTCGCTGAGCGAAAAGGCAATATTTGAAGCTGCTTTGTCCCTGAAATTACCAGAGCTGATAAAAATCACCAAAAATGGGAAAATTTCCCCACATGTGTTTAAATTGAGTGTGACCTAAGCACTGTCACTGACTGTCACCATGGTGAAAATGGTCTTAAGAGGGTTTCTCTTTTCTGTTTTTGTATGTTTCTGCCTTTAGTTGCTGCTTTCATGTGAAGTTTTTTCATAGCGATGGTGTGGCTTGTGACCTTTTTATATGTCTTTTCAACTTCTCAAAGCGTGGAATTATGGAGCAAGGGTAGGGTCACAGTTTGGAGTGTCAAAAGTCCTGACTTGCAAGGGGTGGAAGAGCCATGTCCTCTTAAAGTGCTCTAGGCTGGGTTGCTGAAGAAGGATTCAGGCTCCACAAGATGTCAGCGACACCCTTCTGGCTCAGTCTGAGCAGAGTCAGAAAATGAAAAATGAGATCAGGAAAAGTTAAAATAAAATTTTCAGTCTTGAATTACTACAGAGAGTTGGGGACTTCATCTTTAGACTATTTGCCTTGTGAATTCAGTTCTCTGAAGGATGTAAAAAAAGTCATTTATTTTACACTTGTGTAGCTTTCTTGGCTTTTGTTTTGAGAATGGGGGTTTGGCTTTCAAACCCTTTACATGTTGGAGCTAAAACAGGAAGTCTGAAGTATTGTTTTTATGTTATCCAAATGTTATCTTTCCTGTAAACATCGTAAAGAAAGAGGCAGTGAGTAGAGTAGATAGTTACAGCAGTCCTCTCAGATGTATTCTCAATAAAATTTTTCTAAGGACTAGATTCAGGAATTAGGTGGTTAATAAGGCTTATGCTTATAGGTAAAATATAGTAGGTTACAGAAAGCCAGGGCTTCCACTATAATAGTTAGAAAAAGCCAGAAAAATTTAATCAAGATTATATTTTAATCATATCAGAGTATTGTAGGGCACTGAAAACAAGGTAAACTGAATTCTATTAATACATTATAAATAATGCTTCCAATATCTAGTTACTGATAAATATTTGTTCCTTTGAGGGACATTGCCAATTCTGGGGCTAAAACTGACCTCAGTACAGCAGAGGAAATATACTGGAGAGAAATAAAAAACAAAAACAAAAACGGGCAAAATATTTAGAGTCACTAGGGAACGTGTGACAAATGGAAAATTGAAGTTTTTCACACTGAAAGAAAATTATCCTGAGTGGAAGAACTAAACTTCAAGAAGGTATAACAATCTCTGGAAAGTGTACACCTAAAATATTAACTGTCCATACAGCAATGACAAGAGTAATTTACTGTGGAGTTTATGTATATGTAACAACAGCAAGATATAAAGCAGGAGGAGAACAAGTGGAGTGAAACTCTAGTGAGATTTGTGCATTGCTTGGGAAGTAGCCAAGTATTAGTTTACAGTGTAAAATAATAAGGCAATAATGATGTGTATGATAATCCACAGGAAAATCACCAGAAGAATAGTGTTCAAGTGTCTGACTAAATATCAAATAGATAAGATGGAAATAAATATGATTAATCCAAAATAAGGCAGGAAAGAAGGAATAAGTAAACAAAGAATGGAATTGATTTAAAAAATTAAAAAGCTATATTTGAAACCAGTTATCCTAATAATTAAATTGAATGTATTTGAACTAAACTATTCAGCAGAAGTCGAACTCAAGATAATATAGCCATTAAATGATAGAGCTGTAAATCCAATGTAGATTGTCACATTAGATATTCAAAAGGGCCAAACATATGCTAATAAAAGAGAAACAACCATCTGAGCCTGGAAAGCCCTAAATACAAGGACAGGAGTAGGTAAATATAAAATGATGGGAAGGCACATATCATGAGAGTACTAAATGAAAGAAAGCTTAGATTAAAATAACACTTCAGTGAAATAAAATTACTAGGAATAAAGAGGATATTTTAAAATGAAAAGAGGAATAAAGACATAAAAGCATAGTAGTAATCCTAAATTTTTAGGTGACTATTAATATGGTTTCAATATAGAGAGAACAAGAAATGGCAGAAATAAATGAGAAGTAAATACACAATCATAGTTGGATATTTTAATGCACATTTTTTAGAAACTGATTTTAAATGGCCAAATTTAGTAAAATGTTATAAACATCAAGTTTAACATTCTGGCCTGATGTTATACCTATCAGCTGAAGAAAACACATGATTTCACATGCACATAATGTATGTACCATATTTAACCATAAATTGTGCCATAAAAGCAAATCTTAACAAATTTCAAAGGACTGAATTTATTCAAAGTATGTTTCTGGCCACAGTGGAATAAAATGGCAAATGATTTACATGAAGGTAACTTTTTAAAACTACCAAGTATCTTGGAATTAAACAGCACACTTTTAAATCAATTTATAAATAAGCCATGAGTCAAAGAAGAAATTACAATGAAAATTATAAAGTATGTTGAATTGAATGATGTGACAAAAGCTGTATATCAAAACCCATGGAATACAGCTAAAACAATCCTTAGATGAAAATTTATAACTTTAAATGAATTTATTAGAAAAGAAGAAATATAGAAAATTAATTGTTAATGTTAATTAAATGAATTTAGAAAAGAGAAGAACACATTTGATATGAGGAGAGATCACAGGAAATGTAAAGCTATGAACCAATATGAAGGAAATTGGTCATAGAGGTTAATAGAGAAAAGCAATACTAAAAAATGTAGCTTTTGAAAAATATTAATAAAATTAACAAATTACCCCCATCAAGACGTACTGAAAAAAAAAAGTACAAGTAACCATGAAAAATACAATGGAGACATCACTGCAGATCCTACTTACTTTTAAAACAAATAGGGAGATTTGGGGAACAACGTTATGCCTACACAGTCAGCAATTCAGATGAAATGCACAAATTCACTGAAAAAGCACAATTTGCCAAAACTGCCCAAGAGGCATAGAAATCATAAATAGATCTAAATCTTAAGAAAATCAAATCTGAAATTAAAAACCCACAGAAAGAGCCAAAGTTAAAAGGACTAAAAATGTTAACTCTTTTATAAATAATGTAGGGCAACCAGAACTGACACACACTATTGGTGGGAGTTTAAATTCATATGATCATTTTGGAAAACTGGCAGGATCTACTGAAGTTATTTACACACACGCTTACTCCATGATCCACTAGTTCTACTTCTTATTATATAGCCAAGAGAAACTCATGCATATCTACTAAAAGACAAGTACAGAAATATTCATCAGGTTTTTCTCTTGACAGTCAGAAACTTGAAGCAGTCCAATTGTCCATTAGCAATATAATGAATACACTGAGATACAGTCACATAATGGAATCCTACATGACAGTGAAAATGAAAAATCTACTGCTCCATGTTAACAACATGAATGAATCTCACAGACTTAATTTTGAATGAAAAACAGCAAGACATAAAACTGTATGTATAGTATGATTCCATCTATCTGAAGTTTATACACTTCATTCCACCTATATGAAATATCATACACAAAATTAAAGTATGATAATAGAGCTCAGAATAGTATTTACCTTCGGGGATGTCAACTAGAAGGGGCTATGACGAGGCTTTTAAGATGCTAGAAATGTTTTGTATCTTGATTTGGAAGGTGGTTATATGGGTGTATATATATGTGAGAATTCATTAATCCATTCGTTTGATATTTATGTTATTTACATAGTGTAGCAGTTCCTTAAAAAGAAAATAAAATATAGTTTGGAAAGAAAGCAACAAAATAGATAATACCTTGAGACTGACAGAAAAGCTATGGAAATTAGGCTGGAAAGATATCATTAAGGTTAGCACTCAACCCAAGGAGAAAGAAAGGTTCAACAGAACACAGGTGTTTAGAGTAGTCATAAAAATAAATCCATTTTTTTTTACCTTAGGTAACCCTCAAACAAAAATGAACAGCCTAATTAAATTAGGTACTTAATATATAATCTTACATGTAATGTTTGACTCATAATAAACATTTTAAAATATATTAGTACTACCACTATTACTGCTGTTGCTACTATTACTAGTATTATTTTGTTGTTACTGAAGTGATTATTATTAGTGTTTGGGTCTGAACCAGAAACTCTTACACCACTATGAGTCTCTTCTCGCTTTTCACTTCCACATCTCATCATTCTCAATCCATTCTTCTCATTGTCTCTGTTTCCCCACAAAAGAGCACCTCAGTACGGGGTGTGTGAAATTGACATAGATTTATCTTCCAAACCAGGTTGTGGGCCCATGAGATGAGAAAAGGGACAGGAGGACTTGAGGCTCATGCTCCCTCAGATACAGAATTCACAGTCAGAAAGGAGGCGGAACAAGCGATGTCGTTCCATGTGCCATCCGACAGAAGCGTCACACAGTGCTCCCCAGGAGAAGCATTGTTAGGCTCGCCGTCATTCCAGTTTTGGTAGGTCACCCTCCTTCCTGTCAGATCCACAAACTGGCCTTCAGTCTCCTGATCTGTGATGCCCAGGAAGGCCTCTGCAGTGACTAAATTCTTGAGGGCTCTGTTTTCTTCAGCATTCATCGGGGTGGCCACACGGCCCTGAAACTGTGCACATAGAGTCTTCACTTCATTAAAAGGCATCTTTTTACCATTGGTAAAAAAATACCTTCTTTCCAACTCTTTTGCCCAGAGAGAAGATTAGCCCTAAAATGGGAAAATATAGGTGACATGGTTTGTCTCTAAGTCCAGCCCAAGATATTTTTCTGGATGAAAGATGCCACATAAAATATGGTATGTCCAGTTACATTTGAATTACAGAAAAGCAGTGGATTTTTTAAAGTTTTAGTATAAAGATCTCATATGCAGTTTTTAGGACATACATATACCAAAAAAAAAAAAAAATGCTGTTGTTTACCTGAAATTCAGATTTAACTCAGTAACCATTTTTTTTTTTTTTTGGTTAAATCTAGCAGCCCTAATCTGAACAGACAGACTGGAACAAAGGCCTTTGTCTCTTTGGACCATATTCTAGAATACACATAATTCGGAATTCTAAGTTTTACCCCAATCTTAACATAAATAAATGTAAATTTCTTAGAATATTTGTCTCAGGGCAAGTAACAGCTCAAGCCCCATTGCCAGTCCTCAGCACCAGCATAACAAAGGGAGAGGTGTAGGTCCCATTTTCAGTGACCTGTATGTACACCATACACTGTAATATAAAGAAGCAGAATCAGGGTCTCTGATATTAGCATGCATGGATGCTCATTTGGTCAGTCATGTCTGACTCTTTGAGGCCCCATGGATTGCAACCTGACGGGCTCCTCTGTCCATGGAATTTTCCAGGCAAGAATACCCAAGTGGGTTGCCATTTCCTACTCCAGGGGATCTTCCCAACCCAGGGCTCAAACCTGCATCTCCTACATCTCCTGCATTGGCAGGTGGAGTGTTTACCACTGAGCCTCCTAGGTAGCCCCTCTCTGGTATCAGACTGACTTCAGTTTATACGTTGCTCTGCTACTCATTGGTTCTATGCTTTTGAACAACTTATGTACTTTTTCTTTGTTTTCATTTCTACGAAAAGTTGTTGTGAGGGTTTCATGAAATCAGAATATGAATAGACACCTATCCAGGTACTAGAAAATTAAATATATTCAATAAATGTTGTCTTTCAGTTTAGCAAACTTCAAGCTGCCTGAAAAGAGAGAAGGCTTACAGTTTTTGATCCGGTTCAATTCAGATCGTAGAGTTGCTCTTTCTGAAATAGCCAGTCTAATGTAGTCATCTAGAAAATTAAGTGAAAGAGTGCTAAGAAGTTATCTTAGAACTACAAGGGGGTAGGGTACCTTTTAAAACAAAAAAAAATTAAAATTAAAAGTTTATTTTATATTGATATTTGCTCTTTAAAAAAAATGAAAAATATCAAGAAGCAAAAAGAAGGAAAATTGTCTTTATTTCCATCTAACCAAAAACATAACTCTTCATCAGTTGAATGTATGTAAAGACACTTTATAGACACATTCCCACACACACATGCACATACATACACTCCCTGTTGATCTGTTAATAGCATTCTAGCTCTCCACATGCCAAGCTAGTCACTAATTGTTTTATGTCTCCAAACAAATAGCTCTATCATGGACAAAACTGTGGAATAAACTAATTGAAGATTTATTATGAGCTGGTGAATATAGACTATAAAGTCTACAGAGTTTCATCTTTGGGGATGTTTTGTTTTTGTTGTTTGTTTTTCCCTGAGTTTGCCCTATTAATCAGTAAACTAGGATTTCTGTGAGTTGTCCATTATCCATGGGGGAGGGCATGAGACAAGCTATGTGTAGTAGATGGCAAAAATGACCTCGATATGATACAGCTTTTCTTAGGAAATGGAGTCTGTTCCCCACTCCTTGAATCTGAGCTGGCCTTGTGACTTGTGTTGATCAATACAATGTGGCGGAAGCAATAATGTATGTATCCTGAATCTTAAGGAGGCCTAAACCTTCCGCTCTTCCTATTCTTGGGAACCCTGTAATCACCTCTATGTGATTAAGGCCAGGTGAGTCAACTGCAGGACGAGACCCGTGGCTCAGTCACCTTCATCACTCCAGCTGTGTTTTGTTTCTAATTGACATACCATGTATCTACCACTCTTGTGAAAATAGGCATAATAAGCCCAACACATATATTCTCCCTTTTGGGCCAACTTGTTTCAGCTGAAGGATAGCCAGGGCTCAGATCCTCCAGCGGGAATCTGGCAAGGGCTTGGCTCTCAATGGTTTGTGACTCTGTATTCAGGAATTGATAGGAATCCCTGAGGCTCTAAGTAACCTAGAGAAGCTGGAGGCTGCTTAATCAGGAAGCAGAGTTGGGCATCTCCCCGGGAAGCAGCAGAAGGGGCATGTCCCACATGATACTCGAGCCCACAGACCCCAGGGGACTTCAGCCTGGACCTTGCTAAAATAAACTTACCCATATTTTCTCTAGGGTCTCCTTTTTGGCCTATTGGTCCTGGTATCCCAGGGATCCCTGGTGTTCCTTGAGGCCCATCTTTCCAGGAGGGCCCTGCAAGCCTCTGAGTCCTTGACCTGTTGGAGGAAAAAGGAAACATGACTCAATATTTGTGTTCTTCCTCTATTTCTCCAAAAAACATGATGCCCAATCCCTTCCCAGGGGAAAGGAGACACTGAGCTAGGACTAACTTTTCTGAGCTGCTGTTTGTAAGGACCATAGAATAAAAGCCTCCTATGTCCCATGGGATGGTCTGCCTTGAGGGTCTACTCCTTGAGCCAGCAGGACCACCACGTGTCAGCAGTTCCTGTGTGAGAGTCTGGGATGCCAGAGTCAGAGCTGTATCTCTGTTTCAAATGATAATATGTAGTTGAGAGTAATACAAGTGGCATGAATACATTGCCCTCCTCCCAATCCAGGCAGTTTCCTTTGGGAGATAAAGAGCTTCAGAGAAAGAACAGCCCAAACTGTACCTGGTTCTCCCTTCTCTCCCTTGGCATCATCACTCCCATCTTTGCCTGGGAAGCCGTTGATGCCTGGAGGACCACAGGCAATCACAGGGCAGGTCTTCTGGATATTCTCACAGTTCTCTGTTTCTGTGTCTGCACAAGGTGCTGTCACCACAATCAGGAGAAGAAAAGGAAGTGATGTAAACAGCGACATGGTCCTCACCTTGGTGTAAGAAAAGTCAAGCAAGATTAGCTCATCTTGTTCTATTTATCTCTATATATACTGAATCTATAACCTATACTGGGCAGATGTGATGTGGAGATGGATAATCCACTCCTGGCCTCCAAACTGGGGATTTGGAAATGTGTTAATAAATCCTTCAGTAATACTGGTTAATTAATACTTCAACAAAGGTAGACATAAATAATTGTGTTGTTGAGAGGAAGGAGTCATCAGTGCCTGTCCTCCGGTGTTACTGCAGAAATCTCTGATTATGCTCTCTGTGTCCTTTGCAAGAGCAAATAGGCATACTCATGGCCAGAGACTCATGCCTGCTGGCTTAGGGAGTAATCATGAATGGAGACCTAGCTTGCTGTTGCACTTCTCCCACTTGGGCCCCACTGCCACTTGCATCCCATCCTTATATCTGGACAGTCCTTTGCCCTCAGTGCCATATAACCAACGTCTACTCAGTGGCAGGCACTGAGCTGCGAGCTAATGATCCAGAGAGGAGGAGTCACTACTAGTTACTAACCCAGACACAATTAACTTCAGTTTCCTTTCTCTTGATGTTTATTTCTCACTGCAAGAAAGACTTGCCAGGGGGAGAATTTTCTCTTGAAATTTATCATTCTCTTAGCCCAGGCAGGACGCTAGATCCCTCTCTATTTCCTGACAGGTATTCTGTGTGTCCTATATGTCAAGATCACTGGCAATATTCCTTGATTACCCTTCTCATTTTTCAATTCTAACATTTCATCTGATCTTCAAAGTTCTTTTCTAGATGTCCCTCCCCCAGGAAACCTCAGCAGCCCAGGATCCAGGGTCTAGTCCCTCTTGGTTCTCTTTGAAAACAAAGGTACAATCTCATTTGCAAATGTTCAGGTGAATCCAGGGAAGTCCCAGATGCCCCAGCATAAGCAGAGAAAGAGATATTCCAGCATGGCTTCTACTTGCCCTCCCCCCACCTCCCCCGACTCCAGAAAGTCTCTTCTAGGCCTCCAAGATCAAGTCAAAGCCCTAACTATATGACCCAGGACCCCAGATCCATTTACCAAAGTACTCACCAGGGCCTCTGCAGATCAGGGATATAGTCACAAGGAAACTGGCCCTCCAGCAGGGTGCTGGCAGATGCCTTAGGGTTAGGGAGGAGGCTGGGCTTGGTAATACAAGGTCCATCGGCCTGGTGGACAGGGACAACACGGGCCTGCCTGGCCTTCAACCCCAGATTAATAAATAATTCTTCTTAGGAGGATTTCCCAGGGGCTTCTGGTACAGTGCTGGCTGGCAGTTTTCTTTGATATTGCACAATTCCCATTTCAAATTGTCAGCATTTTGACAATTCTCATTTCTGGGCCAACATGAGTTGGTTCACATGGTTAATTGTGTCAAGATTCATGTCTTCAATAGAGAAACATAAAGATACCTATGAATGCACTCATGCTTGTGCATACTAACCATACACACACACATGCGGATGTACACAGACACTCATCCATGCAGGCACAGTGAACACTCTGCTGCCTTTGACACAGTAAGACCACTTCTGTCTCAGGCTCTGGACTTGGTCTTCATCCAGCCTGCATGTCCTCTCTGTCATGTCACTGGCTGGCTCTTTCTCTTCTATTGAAATGTTCCTGCCTCAGAGAAACCTGTGTTGACTACTTCAAGTGGTCCTGCTCTCTATACTTTTAACTTTATTTTCTTTAATATTTCTTATATTCCATGATGTTATATTCTATCCACTTACTTTACTTTTCTAGCTTTTATTATGGTAAGTGTAAACAACATAAAATTTTACCATTTTGACCATTACTAGGTGTACAGTTTGGCAGAGTTAAGTACATTCACATTGCTGTGCAACCTTCACCACTACCCATCTCCAGAACTTTTTCATTATCCCAAACTGAAACTCTGTACCTATTAAACAGTAATTCCCTATTTTCAACCCCAAGGTCAGCCCTAACCCTTAGTAACCGCTATTTTATTTTTGTCTCTATGAGCTTGACTACTCTAGGTGTCTTATGTAAGTGGAATCATACAGGATTTGTCTTTTTGTGATTGACTTACTTCACTTAGCTTAATGCCTTCAAGGTTCATCCATGTTATGACATGTATCAGAATTTCCTTCCTAAGTTTAAAAAATAATTATGTGTAAATAACACATTTTGGAAACTTCATTTTTAATAGCAAATTAAAAAAGACCCTGGAAATTACCCAGTTTTCCTTCAACAAGCAAATGGATAAATAAACCATGGAAAATTCACAGGAAAAAAGGAAAAAATTAATACAATAACTTGGATGAATTTCAAGGACATTGTGTTAAGTAAAATCAATATAAGCTTGGAAGCTTACAGACTGTATTATTCTTTTCATATAATATACTTGAAATGGCAAAATTAAATAAGGGATACCATATCAGCAGTTGGCAGGGAATAGGGCTTCAGGGAGAATATAAAGATGCCGAACAAGAAAGTTTCATTGTGGGTGATAAATAGTTCTATGTCTTAATTGTGATGATTAGACAAGCCTATCACTGCAATAGCATTTCAGAGAACTAAACACCAAGAAAAAGGGAATTCAGGTAAATAATGGTTAAATGCAAGTAAAATCCATATTGTATGGATTTTGATGTCAGCTTGCAGGTTTTGATACTTGTATTCTGATCATTTAGATCCTACTATTGGTGAACGATGGAGGAAGAGTACCTGAGGCTTTTCATTATGATTTCTTCAACTTGTCTGTGAGACTAAAATGATTTCACGTGAAAAAGTTTCCAGAGGGAGTCTTAAGAAAGTTGTGGGTGATCTAAAGACTATCCTTGCTTCATTCAGTGCTTGGTCCAAACTTCACAATGAGAATAGTCTGTGCAATGGTTTGAAAGTGTGAAAAAGCAGGCCAGGTTCCCAAGGATAATACTATTTAGTCTGATTGGTCTTACAGTGTGAGAACCAAATGGTGAGAGATAAGGCATAAGCCGACTGATGATATGACTTACAAACTGTGTAAGACTTTGGACCTCCCACCAAAGGTTGTTAGAGAAATTCCAATAGGGGAGGAAGGATCACAGTTGAATTTTTAAAATCTTGTTTTGACTAAAATGTGGAGAATGATTGGATGGCATGAAACTGGAAAAAAGATGACCTGCAAGGATGTACTTTGCTGTTGTTGTTGTTTAGTTGCCTAGTCGTGTCCAACTTCTTGTGACCCCATGAACTGCAGTATGCCAGGCCTCCCTGTCCCTCATCATCCCCCAGAGTTTGCCCAAGGTCATGTTCATTGCATCAGTGATGCCATTCTTACTGCCATCTAAATGACAGATGATGGTGGCCAGAATCAGGGTAAAAGAAATTAGATCAAGAAAGTAGATACATTTGAGAAACATCCATAATGTATAATTGACAGAGCTTAGGAATTGGTTGAGTGTGAAATAGTGAGCAGAAAAAGAAATTTGTTTGGGCACACAAGTTTCTGACTTAAATGTCTGAGTGCCATTCTACTGACTGAAGGAGATATAATGGATATCTTATAAGTGGATGGCTTGAATTATCTGCCAGTGGTCAAGAAGGATAGACCAATAACTGTGAAGCAACATCTATTCAATTCTGAACATTTCTAATAGAGCTGTCATAAAATGTCCTTTAGCTTAGGGTGGTGAGGGAACCCATCATGAGTTTCAAATAGAGGTTGCACAGCCATGTGGTGAGGGTGTGGTAGAGGCTTCTAAACACCACAAGAAATATGGATGAGACTCCTCACCCCCACCACCAGATCCTTCCAACTAGCCTGTCCTTGGCTTATGGAAGGTCTCATTTCCTTGCTTCCTGTTGACCCATTCCATAGAATGGCTCCAGGGTGATAAAGAGCCAGATGCCTGATGCAAAGGGCAGAGACTAAGAGATCCAGGGCTTAAAAAGTCTGCTGGCAACTTGTTCATCTGTCTCCCCTATTCTTCAGCATCCAGACTTTCCCCTTGTTCCTACTCCAAAGCGGCAGGAGGTTGAATGAGGTAGAGGACTCCAGGTCAGACTGGAGGTGCTGGCTTTGATCACTGTATTTGTTTGCATTGAACACTTAGTCCAGAGGTCACGAAGCTTCCTGGAACTGAGCTGGGAAGGGGAAGACATCTGGGTGGAGAGTCAATATGAAAGTTGAGCCACTTTTTTGGCTACAGTTGTGAGTCTCATCTCATTTCCATAGTCTCCAGGAGGCCTTTCCTATCAGGAGATGCCCTCTCTACCTGCTTCAGTCCCAATTATTCAGTCTGCACTTTGCTTCATAGATAAGGTCACTGTATGTATTTGTTCTGGACCTTAGGCCCTTCCCAGCACTGCCTCTACTCTGGCACCTCCACCAGACAATGATGCTGCCTCTTTGATCTCTAGAAGGACTTCCTGCCCTTCTACACTCCTATCCCTAGTGGGATGTAATCCCAGCTCTGCCACTTCCTGGCTGTGTGACGTAGCCCAGGTTCCATCTCCTTCAGATCCTGTTTCTTCAACTGTGAACCAGGACAACACTGCCATGCCTGTGCCATGGTATGCTGTCTTCTGATCCACACTCAGAAGGCATGACATGCAGCTCATCACACCAGTCTGCTAAAGACAAGGCCTCCATTGCCTTCAGAATGGTGGCACAATAGTCTTCTTACTGTGGGAAGCAGTATTCTTGGGCAACCCCATCTGAAAACAGTATAGTATGAGATTTGGAACCAGAAAATTTGGTTTGGGCTCATGATTGTGAGTTTAAGTCAGACCATATATTCTTTCTGAGCCTCGGATTTTGGCCAGGGGCACAGTTGCAGCAGGCATGGAGCATGCTCATCCATGATTTTAGGAGACATGCCTGAGGTAGGGGCATGAGCAGGAAAAATTAGGGTAGTGTTGCAGGCAAAATAGCCAGCCTGAGGTCCAGAATTCCCTCAGAGAGGGCTACAGGATCAGGGAGCCCTCTCTACGTGATCACGTTGGGCTTGTGCTCACTGACTCACGGAG